TGGGTGGCTCAGTTGGTTAAGCGACTGCCTTCGGCTCAGGTCATGATCCTGGAGTCCCGGGATCGAGTCCCGCATCGGGCTCCCTGCTCAGCAGGGGGTCTGCTTCTCCCTCTGCCCTCTTCCCTCTCGTGGTCTCTGTCTCTCATTCTCTCTCTCTCAAATAAATAAATAAAATCTTTAAAAAAAAAAAATAAAATATGCATTTCTGACTTTATGGTATAATATAATATTACATTGATCACTTCTCAAATAAGGCTAGGATATTAGAGTACTTTAATTTCACTTGCTTCCTCCCAACTTTTGTGTTGTTCTGGTAAGGTATTTTAAGTCAATATATATTTTAAAGACATTTGTATTGCTTTGTGCAGACAATGTTTATTTATATTTAACTACATATTTACCCTAAGGCTCTTCATTCCTTCATGCATTTCCCTATTTCCATCTAGGAAATCTTTGCCTACTTTTTTTTTTTTTTAAAGATTTTATGTATTTATTTGACAGAGACAGACACAGCAAGAGAGGGAACACAAGCAGGGGGAGTGGGAGAGGGAGTAGCAGGCTTCAGGCACAGCAGGGAGCCTGATGCGGGGCTCGATCCCAGGACCCTGGGATATCATGACCTGAGCTGAAAGCAGACGCTTAACAACTGAGCCACCCAGGCGTGCCCCTAGGATCACTTTTCTTTTGCCTGAAGATTTCCCTTTAGGATTCCTTTTGTGAAAGCCTCATGGTGACAAATTTTCTCAGCTTTTATCTGAGAACACCTTTATTTTAAAGACTGTTTTCATTAGGAAAAAACAAAAACAAACTATGTTGGCAGTTTTCTTTCACCCCAGAACTTTAAATATGTCTTTTCATTGTTTTCTGGCTTTCATCATATCTGATGAGAGGTCAGCCATCAGTCTTAGTGTAACATAGTTATAGTACATTAATCAAAATCAAGAAGCCCTGTAACCTTGAAACAAATAATACATTATATGTTAATAAAAAAGTCTCATCAAGGGCACCTGGGTGGCTCAGTTGGTTAAGCGACTGCCTTCGGCTCAGGTCATGATCCTGGAGTCCTGGGATCGAGTCCCGCATCGTGCTCCCTGCTCAGCGGGGAGCCTGCTTCTCCCTCTGACCCTCCCCCCTCTCATGTGCTCTCTCATTCTCTCTCTCAAATAAATAAATAAAATCTTTAAAAAGAAAAAAAGTCTCATCAAATTAAAAAAAATCAAGAAGTCAACATTAATATGGGATTTAACCTACCAATCTTACTCAGATTTCACCAGTTCTCTCTCCAGTATTCTTTAGAACAACAACAAAAAATATGGTCTAGGATCCAATGTAGGCTCACACTGTATTTAGTTATCATATCTCTTTATTTAGTCTCCTTTAATGTGGAACAGTTCCTTAGTCTTCACCTTTCATGAGAGAGTGCAGGCCAGTTATTCTGTAGAACATCCCTCAGCTTGGGTTTGTCTGATATTTCCTCGTGATTAGATTCAGGCTATGCATTTTTGATAGGAATACCTCAGAAAGGAGGTAGTGTTCTCAATGCATTATATCAGGGGGCACATGAAGTCTATTTGCCCCATTCCTGCTGATATTAATTTTGATCATGTGGTTAAGCTGTGTCTGCCAGGTTTCTCCACTATAAATTACTATTTTTTTCTCCCTGTAGTTAACAAGTAATTTGGGGGAGGAATTTTGCGAATCTATGAAGATACTGATCTCAACACACACACACACACACACACCCCACCCCCCCCAACCCAAAAGCCCAAAACTTTTCATCATCTATTGATGCTACTATGGTGGTTGTCAAACAGTGGCTTTCTAATTCCAGAATTCCTTCTACAATTAGTTGGAAGTCTACAGAATGCATTTTTAATAAGAGTTCCATCTACTTCTCATTTGCTTTGTTCCTAAGGGCCTACCTCTTTGGGGTTTTCAACTGAAATCCTGGTGTATACAGCAGGGTCTTTCCTTTTGAGGGAGGCTGAATTCTGATCTCTTATCTTCTCAGCACTGTGACTCTGCAAAATTCTGCTCTGCTTTACAGAGGTCTGGGCTTAGCTTCTAAGGTTCTCATCTTGTAAAACTTCAGACTTCAGTAAATGGCATGAAACCTGAACTTATATTTGAGGCTTCTCAAACCTTCAATTTCGTCACTCCAGCCTAAGAGACTATAAAAACCTCTGCTAATTTCTCTTGTCTCACTATAAAAACCCTTCTGCCTGGGGAAAGCCTGGATCCTTAGCCTCCTGCCAGTCAGCAAATGCAAGTGGCTGAAAATCCCCACGGTTCTCCCCTCTCCACAACCTTAACCCTTCCAATAGCTGTTGTAACTCTCTTAAACTTGAAATATCACCTGTTTATTTTCACTGGGAACATTATTTGGCTGCCAACTACTCCATCCTATCCAGAAGTGAGAGTTCTACATCTTCCTTTTTGGGGGCTGTGGAGTATTGCATCATATGAGTGTCTCGTTTAAAAATTTAACCTCTCTTCTAATCATATTTATTTTCTCTTTATTATAATGAGTACTGCAATAATCATCCTTATAGGTATACCGATATACATGAGTTAGGTTATTTTCGTAAGATAAATTTATGGAAATAAAATGGCCAGATCACAGAATATGATGATTTGCAATTTTGACAGGTATTGGCAAACAGCCCTCTAGTAAGACCGTGCACTTGGCTGAGCTGACAGTGTCTAATAAATGACCACTGAGTTGTTTCAAGTGGGTCACTATCTTCTCTGCCTCTTCAGGTGCCTCAAAGGTCTCCCAGCCCTCTCTATTCCAGCCTCAGTCTTCTGTGGTGAGTGGGCAAGGCAATCCACAGATCTGGTGTGTGGTGCAGGGCAGCCCTGCCAGCGCTCACGTCTTGTCTTGGTACCAGCAGCTGAGGGGGAGTGGCCCCACCTTCCTGCTGAGTCAGCGAGAAGGGATGCCCCCAACCTATGGTTTGGGTGTGAATCCTCGCTTCCTCGTAGAGATGGACCCAGCCAAGAATGCCGCCCTCCTTACCGTGGGCAATGCCAGCCCTGCTGACGAGGGCATCTACTACTGTGCCCTGTGGTTTTCAGGCCAGTATGTCTTTGGAGAAGGTACCCGTCTGCTCTATCAGGGTGAGTGAGGCTAAGAGTGTAGGGATCTGGTGGCCCTAGTGTGTTAAGGCTGTAATGGCGGGGGTGGCAGTGAGCAGAAAGGTATAGATGGTGGAGCCCCCTTGGAGGAAGCCTTGCTCAGTAGGGATGAGGGGAAGAGAAGGAAGGCCCAGAAGACTAGACGGCCAGCAGAGAAAAGGCTCAAGCTTCTGGATGGTGGATTCGACTGGGAGTATCTAAGGATGGACACAGACACCTTAGGCCCAGACTTTTAGGCCTGGGAGGGGAAGCCTAATCAAGAACATTTCATCCATTCCCTTCCCTTGCTCTGTAGGAAGGATACTGGAGGCCCAGAGGATGAAAAGTACGTGGCAGAGACAAACTCAGAGCTCATATTCTGGCCAGAAGGCTAGCTGTGGGGGGAAATAGATTCCAAGAAAGGCAAGGGAAGGCCATAGGGGAAGGGGAGAAGTGTCTCCAGAAGGAAGGAGATGCAATAGGACTATGAGTTTGGAAGAGGCTGGTGGTATTGGGTAACATCCTTCTTCCCTTCATTCCCCGCAGCTAAGATGCAATCCCCGGCTTTCCAGCCACCTGAGCTGAGCCTGTTTGTCCCAGACTCTGGCCCTCCCTTCCATGTACTTTGTGTGGCCCTAGGACACAACCCTGACCCTCTGAGGGTCTCCTGGGTCCTGAAAGGCCAGTATCAGGAGGAAGAGGACTCCACTGGAGGAGCCGGGGAGCCCGTGGTCAGCTGGCTGCAGCTGCCTCGGGAGGTGGCAGGAGTGTCTGTGACTTGCCGAGGCTTGCACCAGACTGGAGTCTCAGAAGTCATGCTGCCCCTCCCCTGCGGCCAAGGTGAGAAAAGAGGACCTAGGGGTGTGCTCCAGGCTTCCTGATGCAACCACCTGGAACACTGCAAGGCAGTGTTCCCCCCTGGGAAAGTGCCAGTTTCCCCCCTGGCAAACTGCAAGGCACTGCTGTGTGTAGCAAAGAACCCTTGACTCTGCCCCAGCTTCTGGGTGAAGCCTGGACTTGGCTTTGGAGCCTATGCAATGACATTGTGGGACCAGCTTTCCCCAAAGCCCTAATATCCACTCTGTCACTCCTGGCTTCTGTGTTCTCTAGTGGCGAATGCCTCTTTATTTCCTTTGGGGGATACAGCAGAGGGAAGCTATCTGAAGGGCATCTGCTCTGTTCCAGGGTGCGGGAGAAGGCTGGAACTGGAGAAGAGGAATGAGACTCATGACAAGATTGGACACACTCGTCTAGGTAAGGACCCCCAGACACTGAGCTGGGACCTGGACCCCCTAGGTAGCAAAGCCATGACTTTTCACCATCAACCACCCATTTGACAAGCATTTAGGAGTACTACGTATTTCTCAGGGCAGAGATGACTGCAACAGTGTGAACATTAGTGAGTCTAGAAGGCTAGGTCAGACACTGAACCAATGTTTAAAATGCAAGGAGAACTGCCCTAAGGGTTTTAGGGCAGGAACACAGGATATTCAGGAGCTCAGAGAGCTGGGGGTGGGGGGAGCCCTCCTGCAGGAGGGCCTGGGAAGCTCCTGTGGACAAAGCAGAGTCAGAGCTGAGCCCTCAGATTCTGGCTGGAAAGGGTGTAGACCCAGTCAAGAGCACCTGGGTCTAGTCCTGGTTCTGCCCTCAACTCTCTGTGGCCCCTTGGGGTAGTCTTTTACCTTCTCTCAGCCTCAGATCCACCCACCCATCTACCACTCCCAGTCCAAACTGTCTTTGCCCTTACAGATCTTAAGTCTAACTTTTTCATCTGTAAAAATGGGGAGTAATAGAACCTCCTGGAGGATCAAGTGAGCCAGAGAGAGCTCTTCAGGAGGCAGTGTCAGAGGGCCGGGCGGGGCCGACTCATGCTGTGCCTGTCTCCCTCGAAAGCGGAGCTGGAAAAGACCCTCACCGCCGCCGCCTGCTGCTACCTGGGCCTGCTTGCTGCAGCTCTGGCCTATGGCTTCATCGTGGCTGCCCTCCAGAGGGATCGCTGCTGTAGGGCCCACCCTATGGAGCCACTCATCCGACAGGGTCAAAGAGCAGCCCTCGGTTCCAGGGTGCAGGTGGGCAAAAGGTGCCCCCCTGCCAGGGCCCTGGAGTGCAAGGGGCTGAGCCCCAGCAGATTCCACGTCCTCCGAGGGGCTGCCCGTGCACCGGACCCTCCCTCCTTGTTCCAGCCAGCTTCCTCCTAGTCTGCTGCCTTTTGTTACCCCGTGGGGCCCCCTTTTTCTCCCAGACTGTTCAAATTTCTCCACAAATACAGGGAATTTGAGAAGATACTGCTGTGCTGTTGGCTGTTCTGGGCAAGGGAGGTGGGATCCCAGGACCAAGGTCAACAGCTCCCAGGGGGAGCCTGTCCAGAGTCGGCAGACTCTGGAGACAGGTGAGCCACCCCAGCCTGGAGCCTGATGGTCAAACAGGTCCTGAAGCCAATTTGGCTAGTCAGAGGGAAACACATATGGCAGAGGCAGACAATCATGTTTTGCTGCTCATGAACTGAGAAAGCCAGGTCACACCCACCCTCTCTCACTTCTTCATCTAGTTGAGAGTTGGGTATCTAAGGTCCTCCCCTTTTTGGTTAAAATCCTTTTATTCTTATCCCACCCCCCCTTTAAAGATTTTATTTATTTATTTGAGAGAGACGGAGAAGCAGGCTCCCTGCTAAGCAGAGAGACCAATATGGGACTCAATCCCAGGACCCCGGGATCATGAGCCAAAGGCAGATGCTTAACAGACTGAGCCACCCAGGCGCCCCTCTTACCCCCTGTTGAGAACAAATGCAAATACCTCTGAGGATTGAAGTTGGTCAAGGATCTCTTACTAGAGAGGCACACAGAATTTTACGGTGGGGGGAGTCATTCAGAGACTGCTAAGGCAGCATGGTCCCCAAGACTGCTGTAGTGTCTCCAGGAGGAGCCAAGTGCAGCGGGGCAAGGTAACCCACCTCTCCTTTGTGGGGATACCAGTGACGAGGAGCCTGAGCCCGGAACCTCATCTCCCATGCTTACACCGCAGGGGGGCAGCCTCTCGAGGACTCTCTAGAGCATCTGGCCCCACACTCCTCCCATTCAGGGTGATGGCTGCCCAGGGCTCCCTATAGTGTTTGTAGTTGGGGCTCAAAGGCCCCCAAGCCGTCTTCCTCCTTTCTTCTACACTTCACCTTCTCCCAGCCTCTGCGCTACACTGATGTGGCACCTGCCGAAAATGGATCTGAGGAGTTCTGAGAAGAAACCCTGGTCCTAGGACCCCTTAGTCCTCTCTCACTGGGCGTCCCAGCACTTGAATCCCGGTACGCACATATCTACTGCGAGAAATCCTTGCTATCGTGCCAACTCCTTAGTGTGGACTTTGTCTAACACCCCGGCGCAAATTAGCTTTGCTGACAGTGGAGGAGGCGGAAGGCTCAGGGTGTCCCAGAGGTCACTGGCCCTGGGACTGGGCTGTTGGGATGGGGAGGCGAGGGCTGACCAACAGGGACCTGGTGGGGCACAGAGAAGAAATACGGCCTAGTTCTGGCCCCAGTGGGAAGGTGGCCACTAGTCACTGGTGCCATCCATGTGTTGTATCTGTAAGGATAGGTCCCGGCTAGGAGCTCTCCCCAGGAAGGAGCCTTAGGCCGTGCCTTAAACACGTCCGTCAAGTGAATCATTCCCAACACCTCAGCCTGAAAGTCAGAACACCTTGGATCTGACCTCTGGCTCTCCTCTAAAGGTCCTATGTCCTACTCTGCTTGACCTCCCCAGCTGAGGAGACAAAGGATGCCAGTGAGTGCAGCGAGTCGGCGGCAAGTTCAGTCAGTGCGCACAGCTCCACGGCGGCTCCTGGCAGAGCAGGCGGGGGTCCTCCCAGTCACCAGAGAAAATTTCACCAGTAAAAACCTGCAAACTCTTTATTAAATTCTCCCATTTCATCTGTACAGAAAAAAATGCACATTATGTTCAGGATCTCAGTAACATCTCAAAATTACACAGCATGAACATGTAAAAACAAGGAACTGCCGGGATTTTATACATAGAAAGAAAAATCATTTACAAAAGAGGCTTGTTAATTTCACTTTTTTTCTCTTTCTTAAAAAAAAAAAAAGTTCAAGGCCTAAGATCTCACACAGCACCTGCTGTTCAGTCTGTTTTCCTGCTTGGACTGACCTGGGCACGCTGAGCTGGGGGGAGCCGTCAGGAAGCCTATGGCCGGCTCGGCTCTGCTGCGGCCCCTCCAGCCCGTGTGCTGCAGCCTGCCCCGGGGGCCTGCTCCTGCCTCCTTGGCTCTGGCATGGGCCTGCTGGGCTCTGGGGTCCAGGTGTCGATTCCATGATGGGGGAAGGCAAAATCAGAATATAGAGGCACTATCTGAACTTTCTCCTTGCCTAGGGAGGTTTCTGTACTGTCCGAATCCCAACATCCCTACTGGGGTGTGGTGACAGATCTTGGGAGGAGGCACGGAGAGGAAACCGTCAGGATCCTGTCACCACCAGCCCAAGCAGATAGTCCCACCTTGTGGTCCGGATGACAAACAGTCCCTGGGTCTCCATAGTGACCTCCCTAGATGGTTCAGGGAAGCTGGTCACTCTGAAGAGTCAGTCTGGGTTTGTATGACTTGTCTGTCATCTGAGGCCGGGGCAGGAAGGGGGCTTCGCCTTCGAACTAGACTGACCTAACGTGTGACCCTGGTCCTAATGGAGAGGAGGACCAAGAGGAGAGTACTAGAGAGATGGCCGACCGAAAGCAGAGGAGAGAGGGAGACAGTAAGAAAGACAAAGGCAGGCCAGAACATCAGCTCTGGCCCCATGGCCCTTGGGAATCGGAGACCAGAGGAGAAGAGGTGAAGAGAGAGGAGTCCCTAAAGGCCCAGGAGAAACTCAAGGAACTGGATAAAGCGATGCAGGTGCCGCCCAAATCGCGAGAAATAAAAGGGATCTTTCAGGTTTCTCAAATTTGTAAGAATCTGAAATACAGATACTATATACCTAAATGCACACAATTCAAAGAGCCGTCTTCTTTTTGTTCTATGGCAAAATTTAGGTTGAATGTGTCAGGCTGGGTTGGCTGGCGTTATGGCTCTCCGTATCTGTTCACTTAACATAAGCTATACTCAGAGTGTGGGTAGTTTTTGGTGGGGTAGGGGAAAAAACAGGAAATGAGAGCCTTTTCTCAAAAGAATTTGAGACCAGCTACATGAAGCAATCCACCTCTCCCTGGATGACTCACTATAGTGGGGGTCTTTGGGATAGAAGCTGTACCACAGCCCGGAGGTGGGGAGGATGGGAGACATTTCCAGAAGTCATTCTCACACATGAGAGTGAATCTTCTCTTGGGAAAATAGAGGGAAGTCAGCACATAAGTTCTTTTCCACTTTGATATGTGAATGGATTAATACAGACCTCTTTACTATTGGATTCTTTTATTACGTGACTTCGGGAAATGGGAGGAAGTGAAACCTGATCATTCTGTCACCTCTTCTGGGAAAGGAGACTCTCCTCCCGCCCCCCCTCCTGCAGAGCTGCTCTCTGTCCCCCAGAAAAGAAAGTACAGGATACGAGACAGCGGAAGGCCCGGAAGGCCTGCAGGGAATTCAGGCCAATGCCTGCAGAGCACCAGAATCCCCTGGCTTCCAGGGACAGGCTGGCTCCGAACAAGCCGACCGGACCCACAGAACTGAGGGTTCTCCAGGGAATGCAGAAGAGGAAGGCTTTACTGCTGGAGTGAACCTGAGCCTCTGCTCTGCTCCCACCTCAGCACATCTTGCTAAGAGACTTTTCTTGGGACAGAACCAAGAGCAGAGGGAGGTGAGGGATGCACCAGGGTAAAGGTCTCACTTCCAGAGCTACCCTTCTGTGAGAGAAACTCAGTTAGAGGGAACAGTCTTGTTCTTGACAGCCTGCCTGCATTTCTGATTTCCTGTACCGCACGGCCTCCAGCCCGGGAGAGTAACCTCCTGGTGCCTCTCGAGCATTGTGGAGCACATTGAGTATGACTCCCTGAGATACTGGAGGGAGCTGACAAGGCCAGATGAGTTCCCTGGCTACTGTAATTTTCAGCAAGTGCCTGAAGCCTTGACCTTGGAACCACCCACCCCCCTGCCCCCCAACCCCATCACTGGCTGCTTGTTATTGTCCACGGGCTAGACACCAGAAGAGATAAGGACAAGGTCCATCATCGGCTCCTCCACTAGGGCCATGGTTTCCTCTTCTTCATTAACTCTCGACTAGCTGATTTATCCACGACTGACCCATAAGGCTAGTAATCCATGAGGCCCAGAACCTGTGTTGTTCCACCAAATGAGGGACCAATGGATACAGGTGAGCTACAGGTTCAGATGGTGCTGGGCCCCCTGGAGGTAGAAAACTGCTCAGGACACTACCTGGGACTCTCAAGAACCGGTCACCTGAAACTACTCCGCGCAGGATGATGAAATGCTTTCTAGCAACAAGCAACTGAAGATACTGGCAGAATTATCCCTTTTATTCTGACTATTTCTAAAGATGACAAATGTTTCAAGAATCAAACTCCTTTTCAAGCTTCCCGATTTGTTGCAGACAACTAAGACAAACCCAAAATGTCAAGACACATTAAACTATGGAGATGTTTTACATACATTGGGAGGGAGAATGTACAGATGGAGAGCGGTACGCACACACTCACCAAATGATGAATGTTTATCCTATCCTGTAAACCATGCCAGACACGTTGGTGGGGGCCTGCGTTTAGATGACATCCCCAGTTCTCATTCCCAAGCTCCTGCAGCCCAGGTGGGAACCCCTGGAGGTGGACCATCTGGACCAGCCCAATTCAGTCCCACAATGGTGGTAGCAGGGGGCTGTTGCCCAGACTCCAAGAGTTTCAAGTTTTATGAGGCTAAAGAATCCCAGGACAGGTGCTGAGAATCAGGAAGACCCTAAGAGCAGGACTGAGGGGACCAAGCAGCTTAGCAGCTCCCCTTGGTGACTTGAAGTACCCTAGGCAGGGGGACAGAGCTGGCTTCTGGACCCCACTGCCTCCAGGAAGGGTAGCAACAAGAAAAAGAAGAAAACCACAGTATTCAAATATATGCCAGTCAGATTAGAAAAGGAGTAATTTGAATAAACTGATCCACACACTGACCCACTTTGTATCGAACACATTTCAGGGGAGACAAATGTTGCGTAGGTCCTGCAGCCCATGTGGACGGTGGCAAAGGAGGGGCAGGGCAAGGAAGGGCGCCATGGTCTACGTGGACAGTTTTAGGCACGTGATTTATAATACTCTGTGGACGTCTAACAGGTTAATAAAATATATATTATATAAATATATCTCCTACTGTACACGCCACCCTCTTGTGCAGCCACTGTAACTCCATGCCCAAACTCAAACCAAGGTGTGCCAGGTTGGACCCTGATGCTTGCACCCCTCCCTTTTACACTCCAAACCTGTTATCCCACACTGGAAGGACGAGGGAGGACGGCCAGGAAGACTGCTTCCATAAAGCTCAGATTCTGGAAAGACTGATGAATCATCAAAGTACAACATTTAGCCAATGCCTACTACAGTGGGTGTATGCAGCAAATGGACAGAAAGGGGAAAAAAACAAAACAAAACACGGAGAATAGGCTCCATCTTTTAACATAGTAACTTTCCAAGTCCTCTCCACAAAGAGGCATAAGGGAACTTGTCTGGGAAGGTGGCATCGAGCCTGCAGAAGGGTCACATTGGACGGCCAGTCACACCCTGAGACCACGCCTAAATCTTTATAAGCCACTGTCTCTGACCTGCATTGTTGCCTGAAACATAAAGCAAAGTGAATCAATCCCTGCCCCTCCTTCCTGCCCTGAGCTCCCTCCCCCGCTGTAGTCACTGTCTCCCAGCAGGCCTTCTAGAGTAACTGCTATCCCCCAGCAGGGTCAATCCAAATGTGACTGAGTCCTGTGCTAGCCTGGAGGAGGATGATGCCTGGGGATCCTGTGCCTTGGGACTCAGAGTCCAGCCTCCCGGTGCAGATCAAGTGGCTGACCAGCTTCACACACTTCTGATCTCCTCCCCAACCCGTTTGCCCTTGGCCCAGGGAAGCTCATGCTTGCTTTACTTCACTGAAGTGAGGAGATCATAGAAATACTCATGGCCTTGGGATCATGACCAGCAGTCGCTCTGTTAAGGTGGGAAGTGGAAGGCATCACTGTTTCAGCCCAGAAGAAAACAAGACCCAAAGCAGGCTGGTTAGTGGTTTCCCACTCCTCGGTGAAGTCCATGGCCTCCACATGGTCCAAAAGTGCTTTTGAGAAATGAGCAAGACATCCCAGTAATAGCATATTGGGTGGTGTGTTTTCCCCCTAAAGTCCTGCCTTCATTTTACAGTCACACAGAAGAAATAACCCCATTGCCCAATCAAGCCTGGAGGAGATGTGTTACTATATACATTTTTTTCTTTCTTTAAAAATTTCTTTTTCTTTTTTTTTTTTTGGTTTTGTTTTTTTAAAAATCATTTGAGTTGCAGGTCAGGTAAGTTGGTTCTGGAAGTATTGGTAGTTCCATTGGTATGAGAGAGACTTGTCTACGGGCAGGTAAACCCCAATTTGCCAACACAGGCAATAACCAGAGCGGCCAGCTGCAGCTGCTGCACAAATGGTCGAGGAGGAGGAGGAGAAGGAGGAGGAGGAGGGCACCATGGACACGGGCGAAGTTGGAGACGGGACAATGCAGAGGACACCTGCTGCTGCTCTAACATGGGTGTTGGTGCCACCTGTGAGAAGAACCAGGTGAGTGGGCACACTATACAGGAGGGCTGTACAAACTGGGCACCGGACAGGTAGTTCCTCTGGCGGTCAAGGTGGCTCTACCTGTCCTTGAGCTCTCGTGTTACCCGCTTGGTGATACGTCCACACATCAGGCCAATCAGGAACAATATACAGATGCTCCCACTGATTACAGACAGAATGTAGTTCTTTGATGGAGATGTCATCACTTGCATGGCGAGGTCAGAGAAGCCATCTGCTGGGGCCACCTGCAAAGACACACCGCAGCATCGGCCTCTGAGAGAGAAGTGGGCTAGGGCGGTGCCAGCTCTATCTCGCCCCCCTCAATTCTTAGTTTAGCTTATGCCATTTCTTTTGGGGAGAGAGGACAGGGACAAGAAAATCAAACACAGAGCTACAATTCCTTTTCCTGATAATACAGGCATATCTACTGCACAAAATTAGAAAATACAGACAAATACAAAGAGATGGGGTCTCATATCATCCATCATGGTGACCGTCACCACCAACCTGGCAGCAGCCCTTACACTGAAGACCTGGCAGAGTGCTCCACATGGCTTTGCTTTTTTCCCAACGGGGCTCACACCTGGCGTGGAGCCCATGGTGGGGTTTGAACTCACCACCCTGAGATTAAGACCCGAGCTGAGATCAAGAGTCAGACGCTCAACCAACTGAGCCACCTAGGTGCCCCACTGACATGTTTTCAATCATTTAGTCCTCATACCAATCCTTGAAAGTAGATTTTATTACTCCCACATTACAGCTGAAGACCCAGAGGCCCAAGGGGTGGGAGGTGGTTACTTGCACAATGTCACAGGTTCTTACGTATTCGGATTTATTTTTAAAAACACAGAGAACAGTTGAGATTGTGTTGGATGCTGGTTCTGTATCTTGACTTCTTTTCACTCACCATTAAGTCGTGAGCACTGCCCCCCAGCAGAAACACTGTGCAAACATGACTCAGGCCGACTGAACACACTGCACCACTCCCACAGTCATGGACTTGCAGTCTAGCCAGTTTCCATACTGTGCTCCTCTCTCTGCTTTCTCGGATGGACCTCTGTGCAGCCCCCGAGAGCAGAATCAGGGCCCAAAGGCTCCCCAGGCGCACAGGGACAGGGACCTGCTCTTCTGGGTCTCGCCTTAGCCTGGGTGCCCGAGAGGGCCTTCCCAGAGACATCTGGCTATGTCTATCTGCTTCTCTGCGCATCCCACAGAGCGGGGAGGTTTCAGACGAACGTGATCTGCGTGCTGACATTTGCTGGCACCACGCCAGCAGTGGGGTCATGGCAGCAACGCTTCGCAACGGACTGGCGGAGAGGCTGAGCAAGGGAGAGACTGACGTGGCGCCTCTCCATTGCCTCACTTAACTGATGGCTTCCAAGCCAGCTCGGGTCCCTTCGAAGAGGGGGTGAGGGGACGTGCTTGCTACTTGGGACAGCTGTGATCCCGTCCCTTCATTTCCCTTACATCTAGGTGTGAAGACTTTTCATGGTCCTTCCTGTTTGCCTGTTACCTTGACCTTTCAAGTGGGCGACAAGAGGAACTGGTCAAGAAAGTGGGCGCAGTTCTTGTGATCACTCTCTTAATCTAAGGCAACTGGGAATGTCTGTCCCAATGTGGGTGACACCAAGAGCGTGGATCTAGAAACCTGACTTTCTCACTGAGGCCAAGTCACAGCTTCCATGACCGTAAAGTGAGGAAATAATCACCCCACTTACCCCGCTGGGTTTCAAGGTTCAAACGAGGTAATATGGCCATCAGTGTGTCTTATACACCACAACGCAATGTACACATGAGAAGAACGGTTATTCTTCTCGCTGAGGCTCAATTTTTGTAGGAAAAATCTCCCCGGCCCCAGTCTGCCCGGGTACCACATACATTGACCAGTGTCCTGATGTCTCTCTGCCCAATTATTTCCCTGCTTCAGCCTAGCCGAGGGCTAGGGCTAGTCTCATAAACATATGCTCCTCCCAAACACTGGGTCAAGTCAGAAAACCAAGCTTTCAGACAGCAGTGGCCAGCCCGCTTGCTTTCCCATGGGCATGACATCTGGGTTCTCTGCGCATGGCTGGCTTCAGTCCCATCCTTTGGGTGACTTGCTTTTCCGTGGTGGACTATGGGCAATGAAGAGAAAGCGCTGGCCCTGGCGAAGCCTGTGGACACAGCCCCGTGGCAAAAGCAGATGGGGGCTGCAGGCTCAGGGAAGCTGGGGTGGCTTTTCGAATACCCTCCCTGCTGGTCTCGCAACAAGGACAAGACCAGTGGAGAAGCTGGGGAAATGACAGAGAGATGACCGTTTCAGGAGATTCTCTCGGTCATTACCTTTGCAGCGTAACTCCACATTTCAATCCGGTCATTGAGGCGTTTTTTGCACTCGGGTTGTAACCTCACCCGCTTATCCTCCAGGGCCTCCATGAGGCAGGACATTTCTGTGGAAGAAAAGGGATAAGAAGAGTCTGAAACTGTCCAGAACAGAAATTTCTGTAAGGTTGGGAGAAGGGGACCTCACCACCAGAGAATTCAGATTTATGGGCTATACAAAGTTAAATCCATTCTAGGAAACTTGAACCAAGATTTCACATGAAGAAGAATGATACTGAACTTCCAAGGCCAGCTGCCCAGAGACTTTTAAAACCGCTCTCATTTTTACTGGGCACGTCTGGCTCGGAAAGAACTTTCTACCTGCCCAGGATCCGCCCAGTGTGGCTACTGGGAAAGTTGATGAAGCTGCTCTAGTTTGGACAAGGGGGAAGAGGGCCATGATGATGACTAAGTTTTGCTTCCCTGATAAGTACTCAACCTTCCCTTTTCATCAGATCCGTACATCTGGTCATGGCTAGGTCAGTTCAAACCCAAAGGACTATTCTTAAATTCATTCTGCCACAAAAGCCTAGTTCCAGCATCAACCAGGTCCCCAGAGGATGCTGTCTGTGTCTGAGCTGCAGCTACAGAAGAGAGTGGCTGCAAGTGCTCTCAGAGGGAGTCTGAGAGAGAGTTCCGAGACTGTCAGAGTCAACAGTGACTTACGACGCCCTCGGCCAGGTGTAATGGCTGCACAGTGGTGTTTAATGTCCAGGGCACACGCTGTATGAAGGACTGGGTCCACAAAGATGTCTGCTTTGCTTTCCTTCAGCATGTTTAACACTTCCTAGGAAGGGAAAATCATCGCAGAGAGAGCTTTTGTAGAGGAAATGCATCAGATCTGTTATCTGCAAATACTTTATATACAAACAAAAAAGTCAAGGAGGGAAGGCTGAGGGTTAGCAACAGAACTTGTCGAGATAGGTGGCAATGTGGTGATGATGAAAAGAATGTAGATTTTTAGCAACTGATTTAAGTCCATAAATACACCTGGGAGACCTAGTGTAAGCAAAGCTGTATGCTCAGTAAAGTGTGGGGTTATAAAATCAGATTTGGGTTTTGGCAGTCTGGCATGCCATATTATTAAATACTAAGTGTTAGTATTTATACTGGTATAACATAGCTATTTTCTTACTTTAAGAAGACTGAAAAATGTGAAATCTGAAAATCAGAGTAATATGCTATCTTAAAATTCCCAAACAACGGTCAACGTTTGCAAAATATTTCACTTTACCTCCATTATTCTCAAAAGAAAAAAAAAAAAAAGACTGAGAGAGCATAAATTTTACTGCAAGAACAATTCTTACTGAGTTTAAAGATGTTCCGAACAAGAGGAATATAAAAATGATGGAACTGAAATCAGCTCTGCAGTCTCTCCATTTATACACGATGAAAGAATAGGAGGTAAAGACAGGCCAGAAATGCTTTTCTGTTCTTTTAATTAAATTTATTTATTTACTTTAGGTTTTTTTTTTTTT